GGGACACCCAAAACTCCCAGGTGGGCGGGTACAAAGTCAGAAAAACCTGTTCAAGTATCTGAGCCATAAGAAGCCAGGGGAGGCTGACTCCACCCACGAGGTTCCATTTATACCTACAATATTGCTATTGGATGGACTCTTTTAGTCCCCCTTCACATGGGCTGATCAGGAGAGGGATCTGTGAACGGATCTCCTACTGATTGGAACGGACGTCCCCGTTGTGACATCTGTATCCATGCAGTGTGCCCCCTCCCCCCATCTCGTGATGGAGGGGGGAAAAAAATGACAGTACCGCCGGGCCCATGTTAGTGTATGAGCAGCCAGATCTAAAGGGACGGGCGTCTGTTTAAGCCCGGGTACCCCAAATCTCAGTACTTTGTTTTACCAGACCAGGGCCAGGGGTAACCAGATGCCCGTCCCTTTTAGATCCGGCTGCCCATACATTAACATCAGGCGCCGGACCTGATCGGAAAGCCTGTGTGAAAGGGGCCCAAAAACCTCTTAATCTTGAACACAGTAGGGAACGGGTCAGCGCCTTTGGAGATATTAATCCTCGCTGACCCCTCCCCAAAAAAAGGGTTCTCTCTGCTGGCGTCACAGCGTGCTTTGCATCATCAAGTTCCGAAGCAGTTTCTGCCGCCCGATTTCGTAGTCTTCCTCGTCCACGTTGACCAGCAACTTGATGGCCTCGTGGCCCACGGCCTGCTTGAGGGAGTCCGTGATGAAGACGCCTTTCAGCGCCTCCAGCAAAGAGCCGTTGATGTAGTCGCGCCAGAAGGCGTCCAGGTAGGTCAGCTCGGAGAATTTGATGTCGCAGATGATGGAGCCCAGGTCCCGGGATTTTAGGATGGTGTTGGCCTGGTTGAAACGCTCGAACTGGCGCTCCAGGGGGTCCTGCTTGTTGGAGAAGACGTTGCCTTGTAGTGCCGTCTCGTGCTGGCAGTACTCTGCCCGTACCCGCAGCCGGATATCTGCCAAGGGGGAGGAGGGGGAGAGAATACAAAATGAGTAAAGAGGTTGTTTTTTTTGCCATTTGTGTCCCCATTGGGGAGATTTTGCTTTACTTCCTTTCCTGCAAAAACAGGGAATAAAAGGGAAATCTCTACAAAGTCAGAGGAAATGCCCAACACCAGATCTGGCGCCCCCATTGGAAGATTTCCCCTCTGTTACTGCTTTGGTGACAACTCAAATTATTGGATTTTCACCTCACAATGAAGGTGGTCACCAGGACAAATAGAGGGCAAATCTCCCACCGATATTTTGCCTTTAGTACTCGCCGATACCGGTGCTTCTGCTGGCATGCAGCCGGCTTCCCGGGCAATCAGGAAGGCGGGTGGCAGGTAATGACATGCCGCTTGGCTTCCTGATTGCCTGGGAAGCCGGCTCCTTCTTGTTTGGCTGTCTCAATTGTGATTGGTCGGGAAAGCGGCTTTTCCAGCCAATCAGCATGGTGCCGACTTCCCGGCCAGTCAGGAAGCCGGGGCAGTGTGTAAGGGACCCATAATCCAGGAAGCCGGGAGGCGGGTCATTACTCGCAGCCCGACTTCCTGATTGGACAGGAAGCCAACTCCATATTCCCCGACGACACTGCCGGTCAGAGGAAATCTTCCGGTATTGGGGGAGGGAACGGAGCATTTGGGCAAATACGAGTAGTCGGCTAAATACTTGGTATCGGCACTGATCCTGGTATGGGCACTGATCCTGGTATGGGCGCATCCCTAGTTCTAACCTTTCCTTTATTACAATCTTTGTATTTAAAGCTAAACTGCGGGCACAAAAAAAACTTGTTCAGATTTTTATTTTTACGTTTTTTGCCGCTGTGACATCATCTAGGGTCTTCTAAATCTAGACTGTAGCAGGTACCAATAGGAGGGATTTGCAGGGCAGCCCCGCCCCTAACTGTCCATGCAATATTAGAACTCCCAGGAGCCCCTGGTGGGGTATTTTGTCCCAGCTTCTGGACTCCGGAACGTTACTGACCCCCTCTTAGATTATATTCCACTCGCAGCATCCCCGTATGCTTGTGACTTTGCCTGCATGATAACACAGGTGACTGGCTTGTATAGTACATGTATGTGAAGGCTGGGGGGCATCGGCAATGACAGGGGAGCTTTCAACTTCACGGTCACTGCCCACAGCTATGTGTAGCCAAGACAGGGCACTGTGGAGACATTCTCCGGGGTAGTCCTGGTGACTGGCACGTGGTTGAGGCTCTATGATGCCGAACCACATACCTGACCACTGCTGGGCCTACAGCATCGGGGAACCACCAAGGGGGATCCCCCCTACTGATGGATGATGTTGGTGCCGCGCTTAGGGACACATTGGGGTGCTACCAAATGGTCACCCTGTATAAGGGGCCGCAGTATTTTAACACTGGTGACATGATTGCTATACACAGGAAGCACTGTGAAGGAAGAGAACACATTTCGGGGAAGCCGTGAGATGGCTTCTGCAAACACACTTCTACGGTTAAGCCCGGCGTTCAGCATTAAGACATGAAAGGAAGATTTCCCTTCACATCCTGTTTTGACGCCTGTCACATAGGAAGTGGGGAGACTTGCCCTTATTTCCTGTTTTGACACCCATTACTGTCTATTTGGACAGGAAGTATTCTCTCACTTCCGGTTCTGTTTGGTGCCAGTGAAATGCAGGGAGAGGAAATCACTCAAATAGGAACCCTCCCCCGTGTAATCTCGCCATGGGTGTCAGACAGAAAATTAAGCGAGGTCAAATCCGGTTGTCAAACCAGGAAATGGGGAGATTTCACTTCCTGTTTCCTGGCACTCACACGCCAAAACGTTTTGGTTGTAGTTGGGCTGGTAAAAATCAGATGAGTTACCCAATAAAAACTGTTCTCATTGCGGCCGGCTCAGTCTTTGGGTATGGTGCAGTGCTGACACCACCACATCAGCATCAAGCCGGCTTCCCGGCCAATCAGGAAGCCGGGCAGCGAGTAATGACCTGCCTCCCTGATTGGCCGGGAAGCCGGCTCTATGCCGATTAGCTGGAAAGCCGACTTTCCAGCCCATCAGCATTGAGCCGGCTGTTTGTCCGGCTCGATGACGATTGGCCGAGAAGCCGGCTTCTTAGCCAATCAGCAAGGAGCTGGCTGTTCGACAGCTTTCTGATCGCACAGGAAGCTGGCTCCATGTTCCCCTACGGCACTGCCAGTCAGAGGAAATCTTCCTCTGAACCGGAAGTTCCAGTATCGGAGCATTTGGCCGAGTATGAGTACTCGCCCAAATACTCAGTATCGGTGCATCCCTAGGCTGTAGATTATCTCTCACTTCCTGTCCTTGTAACCAGCACAGGAAGTTAGATCAAATAAGACCAGCGCAGGGGTGTGGAATTCCTATCGCCCGACGCCCGGGACAGGCAGTTTCGGGCGTCGGGCGAGTAGTTTTTTTCTACATTTAGCCCGTCTGCGGGCAAGCAGTAAAAAATAAAATATATAACACTTAAAAATGTAAACATAAAATTGGAATAAAAATGTAAATACATAAAAATAGAAGAAAAAAAAGGCGCTAAAGTAAAAAAAATTATGAAAAAAAAT